TCCCTGTGTAACACATGAGCACTGTGTTTGCTGCCTGTGTAACACATGACTCAAAGCAGCATGCAGAACATTTGCCAGCAATGGATGAAATGGGGTCTCAGAGTTTCTTCTGAGGGCACCTCTGTGGGCTTTTTGGTCTGTTTTAAGGATACATGGTCTGTTTATAATAGTGTTTATTAAGTCAATTCATGTTTACTGTTCTTTTCCAGCTTGTGCATTTAAGGCACGTCATGGTTCACTGTTTCTGCAGTGTGTGCCTCTGTGCCTGGGCCACAAGCAGGGACAGCGGTGTCCTCGTGTGTGGGAGCAGGTGGCTTGGGTCCTGCCTGTCAGCAGTGCCACTTTTTGCTCTGAACTGTGACACAGGAGCTGTTCAGCTGACAGAAATACATGCTTTTTATCAGAGTGCATTACTATCTCTTAAAAACGCTGATGCCTGATGGAAAAGCACAGGCCTGTTTTGTGCAGGACAGCTCACCTCCTCGGCTGCCCAGGTGAAGCTCCTTGGATGGTGGAGCAGAGTCAGCATGTGCTGTTGGTGCCCATAGCCTGTCAGAGCCAGTGCTTTCCTGCACATGATCCCAAATGCCACAGGAAGGTACAGCAGGATTGCCCATCCCTCCAGCCTGCCAAGCTGCAGTGCTGCAGCAGTGACAGTGGCATGCTCAGCATCCTGGTGACATGATGGTCTTGGGCTTTCTGTACACATGAGGTTCTCCATGATGGTTTTATTTTTTTAGCAGTCTTGATCTGTTTTCTTTTGCTTTCTAGTGCTGCTAAATCCTCACCCTTATTTCTTTCTTCTGTCCACAAAGAGTTATAACTAAAATGCAGTTAAAATTACTCTGGAGCTGATGCAGGGTTTCATTTAAGCACTGGAATAGCTTATTAAAGCACAATGTAGATTATCTGTAGAGACTGGAGAAGCTGTTTTTAGAAATGTCTGCCAGGTATTTATTTAGGTATTGTTGATTCTTCTTTGGGGCTTGGGAGATGAACTACTTCAAGTTTTCTTGAGGGTGTTTCCCTGCTGTGTTCCAGAAGCTGAGATGGTTTTGTTGAAAGTAAATGCTTCCTTGTAAACCATGTATCTCCATAAAGTACTAATAAAGTGTGTGCTCCCTCGATTTTATCAGGCAAGAGGATCACCTTGTCATTTCTCTTAATTGATTTCAGGTTTGCATACCACGGTCGCTGGTTTCACTAATGGTCTGTACTGGTTGGTGCTAAGGAGGGATAGTTCACATGAAGGCTGATTTTCCTTTGCCTTTAGAGACATCACATAAAGGTGTTATCATCCTGTGGCTGAGAAAGTGGAGATCTGAGTATTGTAGTTGTTAGCAGTGAATGGTGACCAGTGTGCAGATGGTGTGACAGCAGTGACAATGCAGCAAGGTCACTCAGCAGGGAGAGTGTCAGGTAGGGGTCTCTGAACCCCTGAAATCGACCCCAGGTAGGCTGGCTTAGCTCCTGCTCCTCTGGAGTGTGTTGTGAACTTCTGAGTTGTAATTGTGAAGCATTTCAGGTTCCTTTGTGAACAGTGTGCTCCCAAAACACAATTTAGTTGTTTAGTTGGTCTTCGAGGTGCTGGTAAGGCGCAGTGTGTGTGAGGAGAGGCCATGGGAGCGTTTGTGTGAGGCTGCAGCCTGAGCACAGCTCTGAGAGCAGCAGGGCGAGTGGCCCAGGGGCCTGGCAGCCAGCTCCACACTGAGGGCATGGCCAGGGGCTCAGAGGCCTTTGGGAAGCAGTGCCATGTCTTGGGTCTGCTGTGTTACTGGTGAAGGGGCGACAGTTCCAAGGGGTGGACACCAAACTGTGGGAGAGAAAAGTGGGGTTTGTGCTGTTGTCAACCAAAATTCAGAGGGAGTGAAGAAAGGGTCCTGATTTCAAAGGGTCCTCGGTCCTGCAAGCCTGTTCTGGGCCTGGAAGTGCCTGTGGCTGTGTGCTGCAGCCTCTGGTGTCAGCACCATTTGCTGTGACTCAGAGCTTGCTTGGCTGATGCTGAGCTTTGCTGGGCTCCAGTTCTGCTGACTGTTCTTATCTCCCCCTTCCTGGTTCTCCCCTGTAGAGCCAGGGACCTGCAGAAACAGAAACCAACCTCCAGGCTCCAGCCTGCCCTTCCTCTTGGCATGAGTGTCCTCCTCCAGGGCAGCCTTGGGAGTAGCAAATACCTGGAGACTCTTCTGTACCTGGCTCTTTCCTGGTGGAAGCCTGCAGTCCCTCCTGCTGCATATCCAGTGTGAGTGACACCCAGGGCTGGAGCAGTTCAAGGCATGCAGGAAAAGCTCCTAGAAGCCTTGAATGATTCAGTGAAACACTTCAGACCATTCAAAAAATGACACCACAGAACTGCCTCTGTTCGTGAGTTAGAGATGTTCTCCATTGAGCACACACACAGTTAGGATGCTTGGCTATGCAAAGGCACACACCCTCAATAAACTCTCTGTACTGATGGTGTCCCTAGTGCAAAGCAGGAGCATTCCAAGGGCACTGCCATCCCTTGAGGCTGCTCCTCCAGCACGGTTCGGGAGCCCTGGGCCATGCCCTGGCTGCTGCTGGCCCGAGGGCACGAGTGGCTCTGCCCGCTGCTCCCTGGCTGGCACGGGCAGCACTGCTGTGACAGATGGGTGGCATTTCCAGGGCAGGCTAGAGCAATGAGATATATTTAAACGCAGCAGATTATTAGGTAACAAAGAGTGCCTGGTACTGTGTACTGCTGGACCGTCGAGGCCCTAAAATAGCACCAGGCCACTGGTCAGGGGTGCTGACCCTGTTTGTGTGTCCTCCCAGGGCAGGATTTGCTGTTCTGTCCCATGGCTGCTGGTGTTGCTGTCACTGCCTGGGTGGCATGACCAGGAGCCTGAGGTGCTGCTCTCTCCATGTGAATCTGCTGGCAAGCAGAGTGGTGTGGGCAGGGTGGGATTCCAGGATCCCTCCTGCTTGGTTCAGACCCCCTGAGGGTTCTCAGGACTGGTTCACTCCCATGGTTTGTTCTGTCCTCAGTCCCCTTGATGAGAGCATGAAGAATGGGTGGAAATTACACATAATTTTGAGGTGCACCTTTGGATTCAGCTGTCCTCTCATTCAAGGGGATGCCCTGAGCCTCAGTTGCTTTCTGTGTATGGGCTTGCAGGAGTTCCTGTGCCGAGTGTGCCACAAGGGAAGGAATGAGCGTTGCATGTGTCTGAGCACACTGCATGCTCATCACCCATCCTTGAACTGTGCCTGTGACCAAACGTGGGTGAGCTTCCTTCATATGGGAAAACACAGAGCTTGAGGGGGCTTTCTTCAAAGGCTTTGTGTGCACGGTGTGAATGCAAAGCAAGCAGGAGACAGATCTTCAGCACCGGGGGAAGGGTTTCTGTCCAAAGAGGTGGCTCAGGGCCCTCCAGCCCTTTGCTGGCTTTGGGAGCATGGCTCCTTCCTGCCGTGGGTAAGTCAGACCCAAGAGGACAGTGGCTCTTCAGTGTTAGATTTTGGCTAAAGAAAGATCCTTGAAATAAACTCTTTAGCTCAAGGGAGCAACACCAAAGGCCTTGCTGGCAGGTTGTCAGCAGCCCGAGGGCTGCACCTGCTTCCAGAGACATTTACATAAATACTTGTGATCAGTAATGCCTGCTTTAACCTTGCTTCCCTGTTCTTCCCTTCCCCATGAGTGTTGCTGCTTGTAGGAGTTGCGCACCAGCTGCTGCTCGCTGTGGGCCGTGCAGATCTCGGCTGTCCTGGCTGGCTGCTCTGCTCTGCAGTGGCCCTGTCACCTGCAGCAGCCCGGGCAGGTCGGGCTGTGCTCACCAGACCCGGCTCCTTGGCTGCTCCCTGCTCTCAGTCCCGCTCAGCTGCCCTGCGAGCACCGTGAGTCAGCAGCTCCTCGGGGCTGGGTTTCCTCATGCACCCTGTGCCAGGGACATTGCATTGGCCCTGGCTGCGAACCAGCAGCAAAGTGGAGCAAAAGATCTGCAGACAAAGGGGTTTTTTTTATTAGTTATTAACGCCGTTCAGCTGAACCACTCCAAAATTGTCGGTAGCTAAGATTTGTGTTTGCATCAGGGGATTCCTGCTGGGGCTTTTGCCATCCTGTGCCGCTTCATTTCTTTCTTTAAGGAACTGTTGATAATACCCTGAAATATTTTGAGAAAATACAGAGAAATGCACCTTTAAGGCTCAGCTGCTGCTTAAGTAACCTCCCTCCTGTTTTGGAGTCAGATCTTTTGCTCATTCACCCCCTACTTGTGCTGCAGAAGTTGAATGAAAACTTTGGGTTTGAGTCTTGGGCAGCCCTGGGAAGAGCCGTGGTATGGATGTGAAATCCTTCCTGATGGCAGAATTGCATGCGGTGCTTTTGTGAGTGCTGCAGGCTCAGAGGCTGGGCTGCAGCCCCAGTGCTAGAGCTCAGTGCAGAGCCTGGTTTCTCCAGGTGTGGGTTCAGGACAGTGTTAGTGTTGACTTTGTTGGCTGCTTTACCTGGCTCGTGTGCTCCTGACGGAGGCTGGGCTGTGTTTGGGCTGGTGCTGTAGCTGAACTTCAGGAAATGGTGTCGGCTGAATCTGGGTCGGTGCTGCTGTACGGTCACATGTGCCAAAGGGCATTCAGAATCGGGAATAAGAGTTTTGTTCTCTTTGTTGCTCTCTGTAGTTTCTGCACTCTTGAAGATCACTGGGGGGTTGAACATAACCTGGCAATTCCAGGTGGCAGTATACATGCTCTTCTCTTTAATTTCCTAAATGCACATTCTGACTTCAGTGTTTCAGTCGAGCCCAGGCTTCTCCTGGGAGAGGCTTTGTTGGGAAGTTTCTTAGAGCTTCCCCTGAACTTCCTGATATTGGTGACTATATAAGACAGAACACCCAACTGTTTGCATCCTTCCCCTAATCCCTCCCTTGATGAAATAAGGTTTTATCTTCCAAATATTTGTATATTGCTGTGAAGAGGTTGCTGCACCACTTTTTGTTGCAGCTCCTCAGAGGCTGTCAGGAGTGGGATCTGCTGAGCCTCACGGATGGTGGGTTTGCAGATATTTGATTAAGGCTGTGCAGTGTCTAGATGCCAGGGCCACTGGCGCCACAGGACTTGTATAAATAAATTCTGTTTGTGCCATGTTCACGCAATTAAAGCCAGAGCCCTGGATTGCGTTCGATGAGGTTTATTTTGCTAGTCGGGCCACACAGATTTCATTTACTTTGTCTGGTGTTCTAAAAACATATAGGGACATACACACATCAAAGCCAAATTTAAGATCTTGATTAAAATCCACAGCAGTAAAGAGGTGCCCTGATGTATTTATATCAGTGCAGTGTCCATCGAGCTGGGATTTACTCAGGATTGTGTAAAACCCCTATACAGGATGGTATAAAAAAAATAGGTATTTATATATATGTATTAATAGGTATATATACTTAGGCGTATTTTATCCTGCCCTGTGCTGGTTGTAGGCTGTGCCCAGGCAAGTGCCGGTGCTCACTGTGGGTGTTTCTCTTTCAGAGGAGAATGAGAAGCATGAGAAGCTCTGCGTGGAGAGGGAGCAGGAGCAGAAGAAGGCGGGCAAGGCCAGCGTGCCCCGGGCCGGCAGCGCCCTATCCCCCGAGGAGCCCCGGAGCGACCTGCTGGTGCCCATCTCCCCGCCGGGCCCCGTGCCCCTGCCAGCCCCGCCGCTGGCAGCTCCCATCTCCGTCATTCCCATCCCGGTTGTCACCAGCTCCCCGCAGCAAGCGGCCCAGGCCGCGCTGTCGCCGCCGCTCGGGCAGCGCCCCCCGCCCCTCGTAAGCACTCCCGGTGTGCCCAAGGAAGCGCCCTCGGTGGCCCCGGTGATCCAGCGGCCGCCGGGCCCGCAGCTGCCGGACGGGAAGGCCGCGAGCCCGCCGTCGGGCAGCCCCAAGCAGCTGCAGCACTACCCGGCGCCCGTGCTGGCCATCTCGCAGCACCATGTGGTGCCGCAGCCCATCCAGCCCCTGCAGCACCCGGCAGCGCCCGCGCCGCTCGGCGCGCTCAAACTCGCGCCGGCTGACGACATGAAACCCATCGAGCTCAAGAAGAGAATTGGAGGGTGAGTGCACTGTGTGCGTGTCCGGCACCTCTCTGCAGCAGCTCCTGCTTGTGCAGAGCGTTGTCAGATCAGAAATACCCACACCTGTGGATGTTTAATGGCTTTGAATTGCGGAGAGCAGGGGTTTTTTTAGCTTGACGGGTTTTTGTTTTCTTCTCTCACTCCACACTGAGATTCTGTATAAGGATTTTTTTCCAGACCAGAACTGTGTTAGGAAGCAAGTCCCAGCCCTGCCTGTCTGATCTCAAGTGGTATCTCGTGCTATGTTTGGCAAAAGATCTCTGCTTGTACTGGTCAGGGAAATCAAAGTGCACTGCTGCTTGTGGGAGCTTTCTTGAAAACTGGAATGGGATCTGGGAGATGTTATTCTGAGGACAGTTCCAGTTTCTCAGTGCTGTAAGTGCTAAGGGCCTCCTGCATGCTCAGAATCTTGCAGCTGGAAGGGGCTGAAGGCTATTTAGTCTGCCCTCACCCTCTGACAGGACTTGTGGCTCTGATGTTGCTCCAGGTTAGTGTTTGTCTGGCTCGTTCTTAAGGACTTTGGCTGGTGAAGACTGCCTTCTCTGTAGGTGGTTGTTTCCAGACCACAGTATCCCAACAGGGAGTCTGGTATTACTGCTTGTGGACTGGGAGAACAAACCATTCCCTTCTTCGCAGCAGTTTTACCTGTTTCCTTTGGCCCCTCGGTTTTCCTGCAGCATAAGTGACCTGGATCTGTTCAGTCTTCCCTCCTGGCTGTGCTGCCTGGCCCTCTGACTGTTCTCCTGGCTGCCACAGCAGGGGGATGTCTTTTGGCAGTGGTGTTGGAGGTGGTGTGTGAATCCCATGGGGGCTGGAGGAGATGTATAGTGGACAGAGAAAAGGTTCATAGCGTCCATTGGGATGTAGCAGTCCCAAAATGCATAGAAAGAAACAGTGAAAGGAATGCAGATAGGAGTTTGTGAAGATAAAGGCTTCAGTAAAATGCCAGTGTAATTCCTCTAAGAAGATTGGGATCTTCAGAGGCTGTCTGCTGCAGGAAGGGTCTGTCAGTCTGTGCACTAATCATCAGACCCCGTCACTGACGTGGTGTGGGTTCAGGGAGCTGTGCAGGAGGTTTCTGCTGGCACGGGGGTACCAGGGCAAGCTGCACAGGTTTGTGTGCCCGGGCTGTGGGCAGTGGGGTGGCTGCAAGAGCACCCCCAAACTGCTGGGCTGTGTCAGGCTGAGCTTTGCCCATGGGAAGAGGGGCTGTGGTGCCAGTGTGGAGCACAGCATCACCACTGTGTCCCCCCAGCATTGCTCCACAAGCACAGAAAAGATGTCTTTTTCAGCCTGTAAATGTTTCATGGGAAAATGCTGTCAAATATTTGTGACAATTTATTAAATATGATTACCCCAATGTTCTGTATTTTCAGTCAAATGCAAATAATTACTTTGCACAGTGCATGAAAGATACTTGAAATCTCCACATCTGCTCATGTACCTTATCACTGCTGTAGCTGAAAAACTGAGATAACATGTATTTGTTTGACTTTTCCTAAAAATATTCCTCTGATTCAGAGAGTGGGTGGACTCAAACCCAAAAACCAAGAACTTGCTCTGGTTTTTCCTTGAGGAGTGACTGGAGAATTCCTGTATTGCTTTATTCCATGTTTAGCCTGAGCTGTGTTGTTTCATGCACAGTAAAAACCCAAAGCAGTTGGAAGTGTCTGCCCAGTCCCATACTCCTGAACGTGAAACTGCACCAACCTTGTCCCACTGGAGTGCAGGCCTAGATCAGAGCCAGGTCAGAATCTGAGCTCTCTGGGTCTGTACAAATATTTAAAATCCATACTTTGTGTCTTTCCCTGCTGTTGGTCGTAGCCATGTCCGCATATATACACACACATTACACCTGTTTGTATCTCCTGTGCATATGTGCACAGTGCTTAGTTCATTTGAGGCACATGTAAAGCATGGAGTTTATCTTGAAACAGCATAGGCAGAAATATTTATGTACTTAATGTTAAACCAGTGGTATCTGAACACCTCTGCTGCTTTTGCATGTTGCCATACAGACACTGCAGCAAGCACAGGTGTTAGGCAGGAGTTTTCAACCTGACACTGAACTGATCTTTGTTCTGTTTGGGTTACAGGGTTGGGACCAGGGAAGTACATAATAAATTGGAGAAGAACAGGTGCGTAGAAAGACAGGGGTTTGGGGTTTTTAATTGTAATTCCCCTCCTTTTTTTTGGCCTATTGTCTGTTAATATTTTCTTGGCTTTGGCGGGTTTTTTGTTTGTTTGCTTGTTTTTAAACAGATAACTTGAATTAAATTCTTATTGACTTTATTGAATCTTGCAGTATTGCTTGGCTTTCTTATAGCTCAATTCTGCATTTCTTACCTCCCAGTATGTTCTGTTTAACTGCACCATTGCACGCCAACCACCCTGATCCTGCAAAGCAATAACAGTGCATAACAGTGTGACTCTCTTTTGCTTTAAAAGGAGTAAAATATCCCAAATCAAGGGTCAGTATACAGTGTGAATACAGAATAAACATCAGTTTCTGACCCAAGACTGTTAAAATCCTGACTAGCTAAATTGGAAGTATGGTGATAGTGAAAGCACCAGCACAGTGAGATGAGGTATTTTATTTCAGGCTGCCCAGTGTTCCTAACAAAGCTGGGATAGAACCCGAGCACAGTCTCTGTGCTGGGGGCTGCTATGCACAGGTGTAGGTGCTTTGCTGGATTAAGGCCCCAGTTAAGCTCTCCCTCTGCTGGAATTGGTTTCTGGTGTGTTCTCCTGGCAGCTGACAGCCCACCTGTGCTTTCTTTAGACGTGCACATTTGAAAGAGTGCTTTGAGACATTAAAGCGCAACATCCCCAACGTAGATGACAAGAAGACCTCAAACCTCAGCGTCCTCAGGAGTGCCTTGAGATACATCCAGGTATGTGCAATGCTCGTGGGGCTGGGACTGTGCAGGGATCACAGCTGGCTTTGGAGTGCAGAGGAAAAGGGGAGAGAAACTCCCCTTCTGGAGGTTCCGTGTTAACCACAAATCATCCTTACCAGCAGTGGTGGTGGCAGGGAGCAGGTAGCTCAGGTGGTCTGAGAGATCCAGGCTGAGTGACCTTCAGTTGCTCCTTTTAGGCTCAGGTGGATTTTATGTGTACGGTTTGGGGAGGTTTTCTGTTTGCTTAACCAAAAGACAGATTTCTCTAAAGATACGGTATGTCTCAAAATTTTGATGAGATGGACTTGTGAGTATAAGTTATTTGCTTGGAGGCAAGGAAAGCCTGGTACCTGAGTTTGCAGCATGAAGCTGTAGGTGGATGGAGCACCACCAGGACTGAATCTGGGAGAAAGCACAGGTAAAAATCAGTTGTGTTTGTAGCTGGAGGGAAATAAGTGTTAGTTTGCTTGTTAAATGTTTGTGAAAATGGTTAATGGTAGCACAGAAGAAATTGTTGTAGATGTCCCCTGTGAATGTGAAATCAGTAGTATGTAATGCAATTAAAATTCATCTGAAAACTGGAAGATTTGCTGCATTGATAGTGCAAATAGGGAGCCTTTGGTCAGGGCAAATTCTGATTGTACCCAGCCACTCTCTGTGTTGCTCAAAACCCTATTTTTGGAGGTGTGGTTGTATGGAAGTGTGATGGGCGTTAGAGAGGATTGGAGCCTTTCTTTGGATGTTGGCAGCCTGCTGTTGTAGTGGGGGATCCTCCCTGATGGCTGCTCTGGGCTGTGCAGTCCTGGGCCAGGACTGGCTGTGCCTTGGTCAGTCCAGGACCGGCTGGCCACGGCTGTCCCTGGCTGGCCATCAGTCACAGCAGCTTGGTCAGTCGGCTCTCCGTGGCTGTCCATGGCTGTCAGTGTGTCATTCTGTCCTGGCTGTCCATAGCTGTCTGTCCATAGTTGTCCTGTCTGTCCATAGTTGTCCTGTCTGTCCGTGGCTGTCCGTCTGTCCTGTCTGTCCCTCAGTCAGAGCAGCTCTGTCAGCCAGCCTGCAGCCGGGCACTGCCCTGGCGTGGCAGGGAAGGTCACGGTGACCTCGGGCTGTAGCAGTGTCCCCCCACGTGTGCGGGGAGCACATGGCGAGCACAAGGCCTGGCTGGCTGTGGGCTGGCACTGGCCCAGGGCTGGCTCGCTGCCCACGGGCACGGCTGTGACGTGGTGTATCCTCCTCATCGCCTGCTCCTCCTCATCCTCCCTGGCAGCTGCTCAGGGACTACCCCGAGTATCCCGAGCGCCAAAGCCGTGGGTCTGTGACTCAGCCACAGGATTCAGTTGTGCTGAAAACTTGAGCACTGTGTATTTGCCTGAGAAAAGCCCAGATTGTTAGAAATCTGATTTGTAATTTCGGCATTCAGAAACAAAAATCTTCTTAAATTTTTTTTTTACTGCAGTTTGAATTTAGGTTTGATCTGTTTCAACAAAATTAACATCTGTCAGTGTGGGTATGGTCATGATCATGTGCCAGGCTCTGCGTGTTTCCCTCGAAAAGAGAACAGGGCAATTGTACAAAAGAGATCTAAAAGTAAAAGCTCTTACTCTCAGGATAGCAAAGTAGTGTTTTACTAAAGGAAAAAAAAATAAAAAGCCAAAAAACTCAACCCCCGATGAGCCTGGCAGGGGAGGAGCACAGGGCTGGCCAAAGCTCTGCACAGCAGCCGTTCTGCTCCTGCAGGCACTGTGACAGTGCATTGATTGTTGCAGCCTCTCTTCCTACAAAACCCTTCCTTCCCCCTTGCCCAGCTGGAACTTCTTAGAAACAGCCTGTTTGTTTCCTTGGCTGGATTTAAATATTTGTGTCTGCATCAAATCAGATAAGTTAGAAAGTTAAATTCCGAACTTCTCATAGAGCTGTCATTTTAATTTATCCTTGGACCTGGGCTTGTGCTCTGCAACAGTAAATTAGAATTTGCAATTAAGCACGCTGTTGCACAAAGGAAATGGGGCCCAGCGCAGCTGGAAGTTAATAATCCCTTTAGCTGGTGATTCAGCTTGAGGCAGTGTGGGCTGTTGTGCTGTGGCTCTCAGCTGAGGAGGATGTCCCAGTGCATCCAGACCCTGCACACACCTCCAGCCAAGGCCATTTGTCACACGGAGCACCTCGGCTCTTGTTCTTCCCTGCCTGCAGAACCTGAGTGAAAACGCTGGAGACCTCCAGGAAGTTTGTAAGATGCATGGAGTAATGTGGAACAAAACAGAGTGAGAATAAAATGCTGTTTGCTGTGGGAGAGCAGAGCCCCTGTCCCTGGCTTGATGCAGAGCAGTGTCCCCAGGCAGGGGACAGGACTGTCCTCCCTGCAGAGCAGTGTCCCCATGCAGGGGACAGGACTGTCCCCCAGAGCCCCTCTGGCTCTGCCCGTGCCAGGAAGGGGCAGTGGGGAGCATGGCCCGTGTCAGACATGGCTCACAGCCCGTGCAGCTGGGCTGGCTTTCAGTCTCTCTGAAGGATTCCTTCCCCCTAGGAATTGGAATCATCTTTGCAGGCTGACTGAAGCCCTGAAGCAGGACTGCTGCTCTGTGTTCTCAGACTGTGCCTGTCACTGTGGCACCTGAACACCCTCCAATTTCGGGGGTGTTTTGTATTGTACATTTAGTGTCAGATGACATCCAGGTGATTTGCTCACCAGGTGACCCTGGGACAGCTGGCACACAGCCCAGCCCAACCCGTCAGTCTTGGGTTGTGCTGCAGGTCCTGCTTGTTGGCCAGTTTCCCCAGTACAATTGAAACGCTGACTAAATAACAATGTGCTTTCAAAATCGGAGATGCAGCTGAGCTTCCCAGGGCATGCAAAAGGCAAAGACCAGAAGTGTTTGGAAGGTGTGGAAGGAAGGCACTGCTGTGATCCCAGCCCTGCATGTGCTGCTCGGGTCTGGCAGAGGCACTGGGGGCTGCTGTGGTGGCACATGGGCCGTGGTCCTGCAGAGCAGTTCTGGCTCTGGTTGTGAAGTAGATTTTTCTTGCTAATTCACAAACATCCTCTGGCAGCCCTGCTTGTGGTGTTAGAGACAAAACCTAGGTGTACTGAACTGAGGATTTATAGTATGGCCAGTTTGTCAGTGTTACCTTGGGAAGGGCCAAGAAGGGTGAAATTTCTTTATGACTTACCTATGCTCACCAGTCATTTATGATGTTTAAGTTGTTTATCCTCACCTTATCTCCCTTGGCTTCTCAAACTGCCTGAAGTAACAGCTGTGCATCTAAGAATTATATAGTTTCCAATTTATGCCAATAATAATCAATGGATTTGACTCCCTTCAGGGTAGAATGAATCCAAAGTATTATCCAAGGATGCCTGAATAGTGCATGTAGAAATCCTTTGTGAAGCTGTTTTTAAGCTGATCTTGACATATGAACAGACCAGATACTGGTTTTACATTGGTTAAATTTTCCTTTTAAGATTCATAGCATCTCTTTGTCTTTTGTTTATTTTATTTATTGGTCACTTCATTGGTGCCGAGCACAATCATTCATCCCTGTGTGTAGAGGACCAGAACAAGACCAGTGGATTTTTGGGTCCCATAGCAGTGCTTGGTTTGGGATTTGGGTGTTGATGGGTGCAGAGGGCCCTGTAGCCATTCCAGATCCTGGTGCAGGGAGTGCTGGACTGCAGGCACAAACCCACAGTCTGACAATGGTTGTGTTAAAGACCAGAACTCATTTACATTCAGGCACTGTTGTCACTGGATTATTGATCAAAATGCATAAACCAAACTGTGCTGCTGAATCCTGTTCAGTTCCCCACCCTGACGAGGATGGCTGTAACTGTTATTTTTTTTATTCTGTGCCAGCTATGAGGTGAATATGCTCATCTTCTGCAAAACTTGTCTGGTAAGAGTCGGGTCCATCAGTGCCTGCCTTGCCTCCCTCATGTGAGCAGCACTCAGGTGCCAAGCTGTGCTGCTTCGTGTTGTTTACCTGACCTGATCCACTGATTGTATCTTGTCTAATTAGCCTGAATCTCAGTGCCAGTAATGAAAGCCTCCAGCAGCCATAGGCTACGGTCATGCACCGTGGTGTCATCTGTAGATTTCAGAAAGTGATGAGAAATAAGACCTTCAGAAAACCAGTGTTTAATTCCCTGCTGTTCCTCCAGCTGCAGCAGGACCTGTTTGCAAGGTGGCTCATCCAGGGAGCCATCAGGGTACTTTTATTTGCAGGATTGGCCACAAAACATGTCACATAATAGTGATTAAAAATGTCCAGCATTTGGACCTTGTTTAGTGATGGGAGGCTGTTTCTTAACCATTGCCAAGAGGGATGGTGATTTTTTTTGGAAGTATCTCACTCATTACTTGTACATGAGAGTTTGGAAAGGGTAAATGGAATTGTAAATCTGTCAGTGTGTTTGTAATTGTCAGAGAATCCCCACCTGTTCCACTACTGGCATTAAAGTAGTAGTTTGAAGAAGCACTGAGGGTTGTAAAAACCAAAAAACCAAACCAGGCTGTAAATGGATTGCACACAGGGTTTGGGAATGCTGCTGTGGTATCTGCTGTGTTTGGGGGCTGTTGCTTGTTCTGGTTGCCACCTGTCAGAGCTGGCATGGGAGGGGAGACAGGGCATGGGCCCTAATGAGAATAGTGATAATTACAGCTTGCATGGGCTCTGTTTTATGTGTGACATTGCAGAAGTCACCTGCCTTTAAAACACAGCAAAAGCCCCAAACAAAAACCCGAACCAAGCCCGTGGGCCCGGCTGGGTGAGCAGCAGTGGCCGTGGGGTGCCAGGCACAGTGACACCGTGGCTCTGTGCCAGCAGCAGTGCAGACCCAGCCCCTGCAGCACACACAGATGTTTGCAGCTGGGCACAGCTCTGCCTCGTGGCCTCACACAGGTGCTGCAGTCAGTCTGTGTTGAACAGCTGAGTTTTGTGTCCTCCCACTGCCACCGTGACACTGAGGGAGATGGATGGAGAGAAATCCTCGGCTGACC